CTCTACTCGGGGCGTGGGAGGCCCGCGTTGCAAGCGCCGCCGCTGCCGAAGCCCCCGTCTCCCCGCCAGCTGAAGACTGGGAGCCCTGGTCACCCTGGCCCAACAAGCCCAGGCGGTCCCGCAACAGCAAGGGCAAGGGCAAGGGCAAGCAAGAGGTCTGGCGGGCAGAAGAAAGAAAGGCCAGGACTGCGGATCAGATGTCGCTCGAGCTTCAGAAGCTGGCCCCGCACATCGACAAGGCAGCCATCGAGGGCATCAAACAGCAGATACCGCCCCCCCCCCAGCCGCCGCAGAAGCCCGAGGACCCCAACTAGAAGTACAACCGCATGCAGGCTGCGGAGCGAAGGGCCCGCAACAACCTGGAGCGCCTCCTCGACAGCGAGCGCAAGGCGGAGATTTGGTACAAGGAGAGGAAGCAAGCATCGGCGGACGCGGCCTACGAGCTGGCGGAGGCGCAGGCCCAGGTCCAGGAGGCGCTCGACGCTCTCCCGCTGGCACGCCAAACGGGTAGCTCGAAGGCCCCAGCGGCGGCTGCCGACTCCTCCATACTCAACCTCACCAGCCTCCTCGAGAACGAGACCATCCGCACTGAAGCAAACAAGGCCTTCGATCTTCAAGATTTGGAGGTCGACGACAAGGACCGTGAAGTCTGGGACCAGCTGCAGAAGCGGTCCGCGACGGAACTCAAAGTCAAGGTCATGGAGCTCTTCGGCGACACCGCCACCAACATCGCCCAGATGCGCAGCGAGGCCAGCGCCCTTCGAGCCCGATCCGCCGGCAAGCGCCAGCGTGTCGATGCAGAGGGCCACGCCAGGCCCGCCACCGAGGCAGCAGACGCAGCAGGCAAGCCAGCCCAAGCACCCGCCTCCGTGGCAGCCCCCCCTGGCTCTGCCCCTAGTGGCGCTGCGGCCCCTGCGCCTGCTGCCCCGCAGGCCCCTGCGGCTGCCGCCGCGGCCGCTGCGACTCCTGGCCGCACTGCTGATACACCTGCCCCTGCTCGTCACAGAGACCCCGACATCGAGGACAAGGCTCAGAAGCTCCTCTCGGCCCTGCGCAACCCGTCCACGGGAGGTGATGGGGACATGGGGGAGATCTAGCACCGCCACCTACACATGTACGCGGTCACCGAGTGAGACGGGGCGGCCCCCGTCGGACTCCCACGGCGACCAGGAGCGCCACTCGGCCATCGCGCACAGCATGGATGCCGTCCTGGACCCGTTCGACGACCTGGACGCGCACTACGACGATCTAGAGGACCTGTAATATCGGAAACGCGACATCCGAACAGCTGGCATCAATTTCAATTCCGCTCCGCCCGAGACGCTGTTCTCGGTAGGGGGCGATGAGACGGCTCACCGAGCCCTCGACGTACCCGGCCTGTTGGAACCAGGGGACCTTGGAAGCAGGCCCACCCTGGTGCCACTCCGCCCGAGACGCTGTCCTCGGAAAGGGGGTGATGAGACGGCCAACACCGTCGCCCACTCTGACAGGTTGGGTCCAAGCGAGGCGCGGCCTGCATACAAGGGCGGTGGCAGCGCGCCAGGTGCAGGCGGCATGGCCGACGCGAGTTCTGGTAGAGTCTGCGATGAGGCATCCGACGGCGGCTCCATGCCAGCACACTCAGGACCAGTATCTGGGGACCCAGCCCTCGCTGAGCCAGCCGCTCAACCACCCAAGGATGGGAACCCGCCAGAAGACAGGAGCGGTTGTCTGTACACCCGCCACCCCGAGGAAAAAGGCCACCAGTAGGGCAACGCGGCTAAGGGTCTACGGACGTGATCGCAGTTCCCCCTGAAACTGGCGCTGGACCATCCCAACAGGCCTCGGACCTCTTCTACCCGAACATCACCGAGTGGGGGCCGCGGGCAGCCAGATGGGCCGCCTCCAAGGGCAAACGCTACCAAATGCTGGCCCTTGTCAAGACGCACGCGGGCGCCTGCAAGGCCCACGACACGGCCCTCACCTGGGGCAAGAACGACTGGCGAGTCTCCACGTGCGACGCTCTCCCCACCAAGCGCTCGGCCACGGGTACCATCGCCCGCAAGCGCGTCGCCTGCTCCACCTTCGACGGCCTGAGGCACCAGGCTCAACAGATCTACGAGCAGGACCCCCGCTGCGGGTTCGCGCCCATGATTTGGCACCGCAAGACGGGCAACATCGCGGTCCTGGCCTTCTACGTCGAGCCCCATGGCACGATCGCCGGCCCCGTCCTGGAACGCCTCGTGGCCCTCGCTGCGTCCCTGGCCATGCTGGCTGAGCCCTCGATAGTCTTGTGCGACTGGAAAATGAGCCCAGCCCTCCTGACCGCCTCGGGCTGCCTGGAGGAGTGGGGAGGCACCATCGTCACCCCGCCAGTCACGGCGACCTGAGACAAGGGCAGGGGCTCTCTCATCGACTACGTGGACACCAAGGGCGGTTTCGAGGACTCCATGACGGTGCGCCCAGTACACGATGTACCTTGAAGCACACACGCACACTGCGGGCTAGAGATTGAGGCAGGCGACACGAAGCCATGGTGGTACAAATCAATTCGGCCACCCCGCACGATGCCACGACCGCCTCGCCCCACCCAGCAGCGCGACCCCAACAGTATCTCCAGCCAGCGACGACAATTACGCCTTCAGCGACGGCGCCAAGCGCTACAAGAGGAACTTAGAGATGCGTTCGGCGAGATCAACGAGACACGAGACCCCTGAACCCCATGTCGACACAGCTACGAGGACTTC